TGCCTGTGGTGTTTCACCATTTTTCCCCAATCTAACTTATTAAACATACATTTGTTTCTTTCTGCTGGAATGTGTCTTCTACTTTTATAAGTAATGTACTTTCAGACAAGTCAGAGTAACGTTTGCTCAGGAGAACTGTTTGGGGGGGGGGGGGACAAATTGGATGCCCCCACATCATTTAACGGCTTACTTTAATTGTATCAGCTAAGGCTTTTCTGAACTAAACCAGAATTGGACTGTAAACTATGGTACAATGGGGGGACATACTGTGCTGTTCCACTGCTCAGCTCTCCAGACCTCTCAGCCCAGTCAGTACTCATTTCACGCCCACATAAGAGCTGTGCTAGTGCAAATCCCTCTGCCACACACCATTCATTATGCACTCTAGGCTAATGCACTGTTGTATACAACCAAATAGTGCTTTTGCCATTGATCACCATCGAATTACAAGACCAGAGTGGTAGGGTGCGTCTTGTCACAACCGAGTAAGGGGATTAATTCAGCTCAGACTCTGTGTCTGGAAATGTAAGACTTTTTGCTTCCCAAAAGTTGACTATGGCAATTTGGTTAAGGAGCCAAGAATATCCAGAAAGCAATGGATATATGGAAAAAGACACTTTGTTGTACACAAGCACAGATTGACACTAGGTTTTTAGCTAAATTTATGGAGCATCCAGATCTTATAAAAAAAAACAACCATCATCATTAAAGCATCACTGTCCATAATACACTGAACTCATATGACTAAACCTGTGATAATCCTACAGAATGCCAAGCTCCTAAGAAAAATGTTAAAAAAGGTTAAAACCTATTTTGGAATATAGGAATTTGTGAGCCACAAATATCCAGCATAATTGAAAATACATTACTTTTCAAATTATTTAGGGACAGAATTACCCTGTTATGCAAGAGGAACTAATTACAGGTAGTAATTATTATTATTAACTATAATATAAAACACTTTAACATTTAAATTGGAGTGTTCCCAGTCCTGGAAAATCATACAGTTATAATATTGAGAATTCCAAATATTTTACAGGAGTTCTGTTTGGATAGCCAACAACACCTGATAGCAGAATTAGCACTGTTTACAGGACCAGTCATCCTTTTAAAAATGTTTGTCAATCCACAAAGCATTTCATGTTTTCAAACTATAAAATAAACATTTTTCATTCTAATCATTCCAGTTAATTCCTGACATGTAATTAAACATTTATCAGCCATTTTCAGAACTTTAAGTATTTCTTTTTCAAATTGGAAGTTTCTTTAATTCATTAACGAGAACATGGGAATGGGATAGAAACAACAGGAATAGTACTACAGAACCAACATTCTCCCAAGTTGAATTGCATGCAGTACAGAATCTCAAAGTCAGCTATTAGGCAAGTCTAGTATGGATTCATTTCTTTAAAAGAAAGGGTATTTGAATGATAGTTGGCAGAAAACTTCAAAACACAAAAAAATGAGATGGTAATTACAATTATTAACATCTAGCTTAAACTGTGAACTTTCAGTAGTTCATTGGGCAGATAAGTCTACAGCAAGTCTCTCTGGTTCAACAGAAAGTAAAGCTAGAATGAGACATTCTGCTCAGGTTGCCATGATAATATAGCTGGTATGAACATGTCTGATATTAGTGCAAAATGGAACAACCGTTTACAAGATTTGTGACAGAGCTGTCTAGTGCTTCAGATGTCTCACAAATTAAACATTGATTTAGGGGGGGTGGGCATCATCTAGCTGCTAATTTCTAACTACCTCTTTTTAACCAAGAACTTTATACCAGCATATTTAAATGACCCACTTTACCTTAAGCTTGTTCTGGACCACTGGAAAAACAAGGTGAAACTGTTTAATAATACTCTACCTCCTCCAGCATTGTGTAACAATCTGCCTGAGTCTTAGAATAATGTCTTTACTTAACATGTGTATTATAATAAAAAAATGTTACATACAGAGGTCTTGCATGAATAGAGAAAGGAATGAATTTCAGCTATGAATTGACGATAATTTCCCAGAACCACAACCTTCTCCTTTTTATATGACTATTTGAAATTTCAAGCTCGATCCAAGTCCATGACTCTTTGCCTATGTCATCATCATACCTCAAACAGATGCACCAGAAATAAATACAAAAATAGACACTCTACTGGTCAAAAATTAGAAGCAAAAAGGAAAAAAGTGGGAACAAACAAACACCAGAGTTTTCTGAGTCAAATCCCTGCCTTAGTGTTTGCCCCTCCTGATTGAACTCAACTGAAATCAGACTTTCAGTGTTCATCAACATAAAAGCCTGAGGGAAGATGTGACAGTGCATAGTGATTTATTCTGTTGTGTAAGAAATCAAGCAATGGAGTACATCAAGTACAGATGAAACATTTAAGACTTTTACATTTCAACAAGAAGCCATATTAAATAAAAAGAATAGACTGGATGATCAAATGTTATGTAGCAAATCGCTGAGGTTTTAAACAGGTAGTCTTTAAAACTGTGGAAGACTGTAACAAATTTTGCCTGTTTACAAAGGGAAGAAAGAGTACGTTGTAAAGCCAATATTAGCCTACTGAATATTATTCTTATTATTATTATAACCATTATTATATTAATATTTCTATATCAGAAAGATAACATGTGGGTCTTGCATTTGTTTGTGAACTTGAAAGTAGCCCTTAACTCAAAGTTGGAATGCTCATCAACTACTCTATCACAAAAAACGCAACAGATTTTTAAAATCTAGGCACCAACCTCCTTTGTCATCTCGTATTCTCTCTATTGAACTGATAGGACATGTTTAAGGGGAGAAAATAAGTGTGCAATGACATTTATAGTATACACACACCTGGAGATACTTAGTACTGAATGGCAGAAATAGACATCGATGTACTGCTGAAGTTGTGCTATAAAATGTTAAGTTATTATGGTGCTCAAATGGGGCTTTTGATGGAAAAACAATATGCATGATTAGAAAACATATCCCCTCCTGCATTGATTATTGAAATAGTTAATGTTTTCTTATGAATCCTTATAAATCCATTAAATCCTTCATCATAAATCCACAGTATTTGCCAATGCTTCTCTCCTTATTTGTATTTCTCTTAAAAATTCCAGGTACTTGTATTTCCAGGAATCTCCACAAGCTTTGTTGTATATTACAACCATACTAGAGGAAATACCAACTCAACATGTGATGAGAGGATGAGAACAACATTGAGTAAGATTGTGTTACTCCAGTATCCTTATGTGCTCTATAGCAGAAAAACTATCTTTAGTGAAATACAATTAAATAAGAACTACAGCACCATGACATGGTACATTTATTTGAAAAATGTTGTAACGTTAAAATATCTACTGCTGTATGTGTTTAACGTTTCATTAAATCATTAAAAACTGCATGTACTGCTTTGTACAGTGAGGACAGAAAAGCAGTTATTTATGGTAGATAGCCATAAGAGCTCTTTACTAACTTTTCATACTTTTTTTAGTCGATTTTGCCATGCTTTTTTCAGTTACTTCATCTGAAGCAATTAACAAGTGGTTTCTCTACTTGTCGATTGCTTGGTACAACTGGAGTCTATTTCAGTGCAAAATTAAGAACTTTCAATTTCAAACACACAAACCTTCTAGAAAACAGTACAATACTTTGCAACTGTCCCTAATCATCTAGACTGTATAATGTATACAGTATCAAACTTGGATCTTCTGTCACTGAAGGTACAGTATAAAGTTGTAATATGTGACACGCAATTACTACTCACATTGAAGCACTTTACTTCAGTTAGTTATCACAAATTGTGGCTGGCCCATGTTTTCTATGTTAAGATATCAAAACTTTTGAAAATAAAAAAACAGTAGCTAAAAACTGGGCTTTTATTTTAGTACTCTAAATGGTAAAGATGTGGTCAATTCACTGATTATCATACTTCATTACTCTGACTGAAAAGGTCAGATTTCTTCAATATGTGCATTCATCACCTTTTTCCAAAGACCTCATTGTTTAGGTGTCTTGCCACTTGCCAGATTTCTGGATCAGTGTGACCTCAATGCAAAACAAGGAAGCATTCAATGTTTAAAATGTGCTGTTCCAATCAGGGTCATGCTTCTTTGTTTTTGTTTCTAGAAAACAAAAGAAAAGGTCTCTGAGAAACCTTACTCAAGTGCAAGTCTGATAGAAAAAAATATCACCACATTTTAAAGAGAACTAACAATAGTTTGTTTTGGTTACTTCATATTTAACAACAGAGATACTTTTTGGTGAATTACTGAAATATACCAACTGAAAGACTTTCTGGTTAGTAAATACTGTACAGCTACATATCTTTATCTTCTGTAGTTTTCAAATTAATATAAATTGTGTGTATGATATTAAACAAATAGTGCTTTTGCCTAATTTAATCATTACATTTTTCTTTACTCTTAAACTTGATTGTGATTGATTCAGAACCAAGTTGTTCAGGGAATCCGCTCTAAAATGACAAACTTTTTCAATACTGCTGGTCACTTTCATGTTCCCCAAATAAAAAATAAACATACGCAAAGATACAATGTGCCAAATAGTATATATAGTACATATGAGAAGTTATCAATAAGCTCTACAAATTCCCAAGATTTACCACAAGTTCGATAAACATGTATTAGCGGATTTCCCAATAAAACCTCAAAGCAAAAAAAAACGGCAACACAAGCAGTGAGTGAAATAAAATACCCTCAACATGTTCGTTTTCATTACAGCTCAGAAACTTAAACACAGTGCCCCTCAGCATCGTAGCTTCTCCCTGTATTTTTGTGGTCTTAAACTGACTCTGCACCCTAATTTTCCGAAGAGGCAGTCTGCACTACTGCCCAAATACTTTTGTGAGTCATCAAATTACCTTGAGACGATAACATAACCTGCTGCTATTATTTTACATTAGAATTCCTGAAAAGGAAAACAACAGACACATGCAGCTATCTACCTGCCCACAGCAGTCTGGTTAATTGGCTATTCGATAAACGCCACCCACCTTTTAATTTCTCACGTATTTCCCAGAGGGTAGAAGGTGGCACAATGTGACCTTTCTCATCTCCACTTCATGCCAAAGGAAAGCCAGCTTTCCATTTGCCTCCGAAATGTACCCGTCAACAATTCAGAGAAGGAGATGCCGACAGAGGGGAAAAAAAGAGTAGGAATATCCAATAAAAACTAAGAAAAAAAGAAGGTAATAAATGATGGCTGGTCTCCCCTTCAAGAACAGACTTGTGAGGGAAAACAGAGTGGAGAAGCCTGGCTGGGTACACCATGTCAGGGAGAAAGCTGCAACACTGCAATGTCGAGATGTCGCACCACTAGTTTTATAGCAGGGTGGGTAGCTGAAAGATAATAATACCCCATCCTCCTCCACAACACAAGTTAAGCACAGTATGTAATAAGCTCATGGCTCAGACACCCTTTGATTTAGGTCAGACAAAATGAATTTTTAGTTTTCTGTTAAAACGGCTTTGGGAAGCAGGAGAAAATGTGAGGGGAGGTGAAAAAAACATGGTTAAAAACAGGCAGCATTTGCCCCTGCCCTTGTACTCAAAATCAAAACAAGGCTCACCAACTAAGCACACTAAATAATACTGAAGGAATAAAGAGCCTTTTTTTTGAGGAGGTGGGCAATTCCAAAAAGCTAAAATGTCATTGTTTCAGAGGATCAAAGGATGGGTTGGGAGACTTTTTCATGTCGTTGCAAAAGTATTTTTCCCACTTTAACCCTCAGACCTGTGTCTGTCTGTCGCTGTTATTTAACTGTCTAAATTGATTCTAGTGGGTTGCAGAGGGGCAGGTGGCCAATGGCACAGTGCCTCGCAGTGCTTAGGACCTGGGTTCAATTCTGGATCTGTGGTGCTATCTGTGTGGAGTCTGAATGGTTTCTCTGTTTCCTCTCACAGTTTAACAACATACTGGTAGGTCAGCTGGCTTCTGCAAAAACTGGCCCAGGTGTGAAATATGTCTGTGTCCATGTGCTCACTGCAATGGACTGGCATCCTATCCATGGTGTTTGCTGCCATGTGCCAGATTAGACTCCTGTTCCCCAGCTGTTATAATGTGGGTGGGAATGGATGGGTTAATTAAGTGAAGGTTATCGCTAATAGTTTAGTTATGAACATGGAAATAAATAGATCACATTCTCTAAATGACTAATACCCTGAACATATCAACTGCTTTTCTTGAGTCACCCTTAACACTGAAAACACTACAGTACATTAACAAAATATTGTTTGTTCATTTGTATTTCTGTGTCTTAAGCTGGTTTTGAAATATTCATTTACTGACAGTTATTTCATTCATTGGCATGAAAATAATATTAATAATTTCTCTAGAGTTAATATAGAACTTTCAACTCTGAAGAGAAATGTTGGCAGCCTTGTATTGGAAATATGACTTATTTTGCAGAGTATTTTATAAGTATTGCAGGCTTTTTCTTATGTGATGGCTTTTCTTATACAAAACTTCTAAAACAGTGACGCTAAGTCCATTAAAACACTCTCGACTCAACAAATCTTTCACTGTGCCTTTGATTTGGTGACATCCCTGAAACAGGTCTCAATTTTTTTTTTTATTTTCTCCTTTGAAGAATGCTTTTTGGGTTCTTTCATCCATCCAGGAAAGATAGAGCAACAAGACTTGCATATGAAAAACATTATTTTTAATATTAATGAAAGATACATTGGAATACGTAGATTTGTGGTATTTTATTGTACTTCATTGACATTTGGAAATACTATTGTGAAAGAGTTAAACAAAAATAAATAGGAATATTCTTTTGTCTCTTTTGGTACTGGAAGCCTTTTATAAGTGGTTGGATGCTGCCATTTTTGGTCAACCATGTATCTATCAGGTTTTTCATACTCATTTTTGTAAGAAACATTTGAATTCATAACTTGGTTGTTTTTGGGATGGTTCATATGTTTCAGTCAGCATATGTTTATGCTATATATTTTGAATACATTTACTAGGTTATCCATAAAAATTGGGTGCTTATGATAATATTTGACATTGCAGTCATCTTTGACATGGAAACGATGTGTTAGGTTCTCATGGGCGTTGACAGTGCACACCAGAGGGTGCTACATCAGCTCAGTCTGAGCATCATGTCTGTGACAGCTCTCCACTTGCTGTTAGTGTGAGTGTTTCCCATGTTTTCAACTGTACCAGTACCAAGTCATTGCTCAATAGTGCACTTCATAATACAGCCATTTAAACACAGTCGTGACCTTTTAAGCAAGCTACGTATGAATATTCAAATTTAGTTCAGACTAGCTTAGAGATAACCATATTACTGTATGTCATTGTCACTTATCTCAGCAAGGACTAGAGCTTTACTATGAAACTGTTGTTTCATAATAAAGCGCTGAATGTAGACAAGTGCAGAGGGCTTATTGTATGATTTTCTTCAGTTTGATTGGCTAAATTGTCTAAATTATTTCCTTTACTTGTTCACATTTATTCTGATGTTCTTTGTCATCCAATTTACATCAAATGAGAATGAAGGCCTCTAGGGACCACAGACTTGAGAGCCACCAACTAAAATGTCTTCTTTTCTTTTACATGTTTGCGCCCTGCTGCTTAAAAGAATCATGCCACATAATTAGAACTAATAATTATAACTAACCATAGAACTCACAGAAGTTCAGAACAAACCCAAAACACTACATTTTACAGGATTATTATTTCACTGTACACAAACTACATATTGTGATCCTATTGGTTGAAGAAGTGAAGATTGAAGATTTAATGGAGATATAGACAAATTTCAATTAAAAATAAAAGAAAGTACAACAGTTACGAGCTCCCTAATGGTGGTGCCTAAAGGCTCCCTCGGATGCCTTTGCTCTGACGTTGGCATTAAGGGCTCACGGTGTGAGGAAGGGCAGATGGCATGACAGCACGTCTTACCAGACATGTGCATTGTCTGCATCTCAACACTGCCAGTTTGAAAGCATTCAGCCGGGTAAATAATTGGTGATTCCAAAGTGAGGAGCCTTTAGGAGAAAAGAAAAGATGATTCTAAGCCTCTAAAAAAGGAAAAAGGAGAAGGTGTTTCATCTTGCAAGGAAAAATGATTACGTGAAAAGATGTTTTGCCCTCATGTGTGGCTGTTATTCATCAATCCAAAATTTAATTGACATTTAAGAAACAAATTTGTTTTTTAATATAAGACCTGAAAAAAAGTGAGAAGACAAACAGGAAAAAAAAAATCATAAATGATTGCCTTAGACCTTAGACACGGGCCGCTGATTTTCAGTCATCTAAGGCCAGAAAGGTGTATATTAATGGTCTTGTTTTGCCTGAAGCCAGACCAGGAGACCACTGTCTACTCAGACTCAAGGATTTCAGTCTCCCTGCTTCTTAAGTCCCCTCAGGACCAGAACCTACTCATTATACACAACATGAGTGGCAATTAAAAAGCAGTGGTCGGACATGACCTCTTATAGTTTGGTGTACAATGTCTGAATTCTGTGCTTGACTTAAACGGCACGTTTGTTCTGCAGATTTTCACTTTTTTAACATAGAAATATAGAAATCTTCTATTACAATGTCCACAATTAGGTATAATCTGAGTCCATAACCACTAACCTTAATGAGACTTTTCTGTAAAAGTATCAATTATAGAGCTTCTGCACAGTTTTAAACCTCAATCAGAAATGAATTTGAGGAATAATAGGAAAAGAAAATCTTTTCAAGGGCAGGTGTCAGTAATGCTGTAAAGTAGGATCTTTTAAAGTACCTTTGTCTGAAAGTGTCAATATCATGTCACCCATTTTTTTGGGGGGAAAAAGACCACCACACCAGCACTTTTTCCTTTACATTACAATACTTAGCCTGTAGATGGAGCTTTGTACCATATGCTCATTTAGAAAACTAAGTAAGGAAAAAATCCTCACTGGTTTTCTTCATAATGCTACTCACACAAAAACTGAATACTCTGACCTTAAGTTTGAAATAATAAGATCACCAACATTATAAAATCTGAAAAATGGTGGGGACAGCTGGTAAAAAAATGAACTAAAAATTAAGGAATGTGAAGATACATGCTTGTAAACTACTTTCTTATGTGCAGACGAATTTATAAAAGTTGTACAAAACAAATATAAAACATTTTCCAATGTGTGCCCATGAATTGCATCATGGGTGAGGACATTGAGACAAACCTAGACTACCTGTATTGCTCTTGAGTTTTGTCTATCCTCCATTTTACCACCTTATCCTTTAATGTTAAAAGACTGAAAATTTCACTTCTAACTACTTCAAATCACGCTGAATGACTGATATTGTATTCTCAGTTATATATACTGTAGATGTATGTTGTATTTTTCAAATCAATTTAAAATCAAAGTGGAACATAGCTTCCAAAGTCACCTACAGTAATAGTTTGAACAGGTTAGCAGAGCATTCCTGTTGCACTCTAATATTTTACACCTCTACCAAGACAAAGTTTCAAGTGTTTCTTCATGGCTGCTATTTGATCAGCTTCATGTTTACATGCTTTCAGAATAAGGACCACTTTGTCCTTCTCCTTTCTGTTTTCCAGTCACCTGCGCCAACTGGACACACCGATACTGCGCATATATCTGTAAGTGGGTGTTTACATGTGAGAACTGAGAGATGATACGGTTATACTACAGTGTGATTTTGAAATGGAATAGTGCGTCTTGAAACCAAGCACTGATGAGCTTTGTTAAAATAATAAGATGATTATAACACCACATTGAATCTGAGGATCAGAGAAGATGGAACAAGTATTGACGTTTTTGCAGTCAACATGGTCAGTGCATTTTGTACAGTATCAGGAAAGAAAGAGCACAGTAATGGTCATCCTTTATTTCAGTTGCTCAAACCTATGGGAATCTTTAGGTTGGAACTGTAGCCAGGGATGTTTCTTAATGCTGGTGAACTCCACGTGACAGAATTCATTTCTATAAACTTTTTTGCCTGTGACACCAACTTTGTGAGCTTGCAGTACAGCTGAGACCTGTGACTCACATTACACTTGTAAATCGGGTATTTGATTATTTGATTTACTCTTTAAATATATATCTGGGAGAAGTTATAAGAGAAGACCCATTCAGCCATATTTTCTTATATTTCAATATGCTGAATACAGTAAATTGGATGCTTTGATTTGATAGTATTGATCTTGACTTTAGAGCTGATCAGATTCTATCTCAATAATTAAATTCAATTGAATTCAATTGAAATTAAATTAATGCGATCTCCTAATGGTGCATTGCTATGTTTCTTCAAACCAGAACATGGGATGACCA